GAAACTTCCTAAAAGATGAGACAATGATTGCAGTTTATGACTGGGTTGGATCACAGAGTCTTCTGCCCACCCACTTTGAGCTTTCATCATTTGATGGCCATCCATTCAAACAAGAAGAACCCATAGGGATGTTAAATTGTACACTAAATATGACTGAAACTCAGTTTACTCCAGGAATAGATGACTCAGACATAGAGTTTTATGGGTTTGGTCTAGATGAAACAGAACATGATGAGATGTCATTGGAAAAGTAAGTTATTTGGATTGATTATTTGTGCTATTATTTCAAGCTAAAAAAATTAAAATATAATGGATGACATAGCATCATAAAATAGATTATAAATGTTTGCATGGACAAATTATTATGAACAATATTTTGATGGAACACTGAAAATGTTTTTATTCAATAGAATAAGAGTGTCATATACCAAAAGTGTTCAATACATGAAGTTATCACAATATTTTGAAAACAGAATTTGCATAATTTTGCACTATTTACTGCTATTTGTGTTGCACATGTTTAGTATCTTAATACTCTGTCTTCTACACATGCATTCCTGTCAATCAAGTGTCATATTTCAAGACTTCCTTGTTGCAATGTCATTTTTTTTAAATAATAATAATAATAATCAAGTAAATAAATTGATTAATATTATAAAAAATATGACACCACAACAAGGAAGTCTTGAAAAATCCATCACCTGATCAAAAAATAACTACCTATGTAATTCATATACCATACTTGTGATTATCTGCTTCAGCTTAAACCAACCAAACACAGATATACTCTCCTTCTGGGATAAAGTTGTGGATGAAATGACTGAAGAAGAGTTATCGCAGGTATAGTAGGCTCTATCAATAATTTAATGACTGCTGCTCTTTTGTATCATTCAACATGTTGAAGTTATAGACTAGACATAAAATGTTACGATAACACCTACACTAGGATCGCAGTATATGTTTACTATACGGGCGCTATTGTATTTTTAAACCCCTGTAAAATTAACAACTTATAGAATTTCTAAATCTTGAGAATTTAGTATTGAGTATACATGTATGTCTATCAAATAGTGTGCAGTTTCATCTTTATCTAATCAGCTGAAAATTCCTTTTTAAACCATTTATTTATTTATTTTTAGTCCGTCTTTATTTTTATCTGAATTACGTTTGATCTAAGTCTAATATTATTTCCCCCTAATTCCATTTAAGATATTGGCACACAGTTCTATTTTTGAAATAGGTGATATATAATAGCTATCCTATTGCTGGATTGCACATGATGTCACTGTAGCCATCTTGGATGAACGTTATCAAAAGGTTTCTTTGTAGTGTTTATTCTTTGGTCATCCAACATGGCTACCTGCTTTATTGTCTTTTGATTCCCAAAAGAGATGTCTCAACCCAAGAATAAGAAATAAATTTATATATATACGTGTATTTTAACAGCCAGGGAGACGCTTTCGGATGATGGCAAATTATGCATATCAAACTGGTAGTACAGATACAGGTAGTGTACAAAATAATTTATTATTTTCTCATTCAAAGCTTTTCGTCCAGTCACCCTGTGGTTTGGGAACAAGAGCAAATTGCAACAGAAATTTCATGGCTGCAGTATGACCACTTGAGATCACCTAAACAACATACTAAGTCCCAAAAATCCCAGTGGTGGAACATCCTCAAAAATAATCATACTTATAAGTGATATTTACGTCATATTATTGATAAATGCAGCAAGGTTTTTCGGCTTTATTTCAGTAAAATGCTAAACTTGGCAAGATTGGGCTCCCTGTGTAATTTTTGATTTATAAAAAATGGTTTTGAGGATGTTCCACCACAGGGATTTTTGGGACTTTTACATGTAGTATATTGTTTAGGTGACCTCAAAATTCTGTTGCAATTTGTTCTAACCCCAACCCCAAATTTTCACTAAGGATGGACTATTTCTTACTCAACGATGTCACTAGATGTACCTTCCTTATCCAATGCAAAATGCATTGTGTTTTATAATATTTATCAGGTTAATGGTATGATTACCACAGTTTACAATAAAATTTAACTTATTGTACAATATAGCTAAAAATGATCCTATTGGACTACTTAGTTTGCATACGCTAATTTCATCTTAAACATTAATTTGCCAAAACATGACATGACATTGAATCAACATGTATGTTGTCATTCCAATGCTCAGCTTTTTTACATAGTAATAAAAATTTATGATTACATGGTTTTCCTTCTTCTCTAGTTAAAACTCTTACATTTGTAATTACTTCTTTTCATAGATGATGAGATTTTGGAAATTAAAATCCACAGAGCCTTCATAAGAGATGATCTCATTAAAGTATTTAAAGCGAAAAAAACACCAAAAGGGGCATTATTCAGAATAATAAATGACAAAGGGGAAGTGGAGGAAGGAGAAGGTGTTGGCGTTGCAAGAGACATTTTCTCCACTTTCTGGCAACAGGTGTATTCATCTTTAACAACTGGTGACATTGAGAAGGTGCCTGTCATACGTCATGATTTTCAGCATGACGAGTGGAGAGCAGTAGGGGAAATACTAGTCTATGGAGTCGAGTGTTTTGATTTTTTTCCAACTGGTATTTCCAAGGCATTTATTGCCTCATGCTTGTTTGGGGAAAAGGAAATTGACAACAAGTTCCTGTTGGAATCATTTCGCCAGTACATCAGCCATGATGAGCGAGAACTTATGGACTCCGTCATGAATGGTGATATATCAGATGTTGACTCTGGTGACCTCCTAGACTTTCTAGGGAATTATAAGTGCTACAAGATGCCTACACAAGAGAATTTCCAAACTATTGTTACTGAATTAGCACACCAAGAACTTATTCAGCGTCCCAGATATATAGCTCAGTCTTGGTCCAAACCGCTGTCTTTACTAACAGAAAGAAAGAAATTCCAAAGTGTTACAGATCTTGTGTTCCTTTATGAGAAGAAGAAGCCAACAACAAAGAAAGTTGTCAAAGCCCTTGAAGCAAATCCATCCAATGCAGCAGAGCGCCAGAGCTTTGATTTCCTAAAGAAATTTATACGATCATTAGATCTCAAATCTCTGGAAGCCTTTCTCAAATTTACAACAGGAAGTTGTACCATGATTGATCGAGGAATTGAGATTTCATTCACACATACAGATGGCTTTGCAAGGAGACCAATAGCCCATACCTGTAATCCATCACTAGAACTTCCATGCACATACCAAACCTACCCTGAACTTGTGGA